TCTTTCTATGTCACGAAGTGACCCCGCAGGGACGATCATTTTCATTTAAATGACATTACCTTTTATTTGTTTATAACACGTATTTTAATTAATTTATCCATTTAAAATTGTTATTATTGTTTGACAAAGACTTTTTTCTTTAATACACGTTATTCGTTGATGGTGAAAAACAATTATTTCCGCAAAAATATGCATTTTAAACTCGCGGTTGATTTTGTGCGCATGCGTTGTATATATGACGCAAAACAATCGAATAAAAACATAATTGTGTTTTTATTCGATTGTTAAGTTACACGTGTATACATCGTTTAACCTATTGCTGTGATATTTATTTAAATAATTGTTAATTGTAAATTGTTAATTGTTAAACAATTGTTATATAGGTACGTATATGGTTTATATATAAACTATAGTTGTTTTAACAAACATATATGAGTGTTATCATTTTGTAAAGCCTGGTTCTAACAGAAAAGTAATTTAATTTAAGATGTAATTTAATTTAACTTAAAAGTTAAAAACCCAACAATCCTTTGTAACGTTCATACAGTGATGTAATTTAAAACTTAATTTAATAGTTGGCCAACTTTTATCTTTTAAATTAAATTACGTTATTTCAAGGTTATTTCGTATTATCTAACCTATTTTGGGAGAATCTAACCTATTTTGTGTAAACGGTTTTACTAATAAGACAAATATTTCGATTGTAGTTACCAAAGTAAGCCATATATATATATATATCTAAAACTTTAAGTTTTATATACATTAAGTAAGCACTCTCTTTAAAATATTGTTTTTAATTTCAAACACTATTAAATTACGTTACTTTTTGTATGAACGCAAGTAAATTAAATTACTTTTAAAGTTAAATTAAATTATATTACGTTATTTCTCTGTTAGAACCCAGCTTTAATGCTTTGGTGATTACCCTATAGGGTGTAAAACTGTTTATTTTTTATTTTTGTATGCTTTATATTTCCTTTCAAATATTTTCAATATTGTACAGAGTGAAAAGATATTTTTGTAGGTTAACCAAAATTAGAATTATACGATTAGAAATATCATACTTGTATACAAATGCATTTGTAAATGTATACACACAACCAACTGTTGTCCAAAAACAAAAAACTGGGAGAAAACTTGGAATTACTGATACCATTGAATTCACTGTGCCAACAAATATAGAACGGGGCTCATATACATACTCCTATACCTATATATGAGTGGTATAGGTGCAAAACCTGCCAATTGCATTTTAAAATAGTATGACAGAAAACGTGTATACACGTTTTCTGTCATATATACATACATATTTTTATATTGTTATGATAATACATTGTCTTGAATTTTGTCTTCTATTATTTTAAAACGCAATTGGCAGGTTTTGAATCCATATCACTCATATATAGATATAGGTATTTATCATTTATACATATATGTAAGCCCCTCTACATACAGGGTGTAAAGGGTAAAACCACCCTATACACAAAGTATGTGTCTTGTCCCAGGATTTAATGTCAGATTATTTTATTTTGAAGGTTTACACAATAAAAATGTCCATTTGTTAAACTTTTACCGATATCTTAATTATTAGATATGGGACCTACATCTAATTTATATACATCAAATAAAAGAGATAACTTTTTGCTCGGCCATACTGGCCCAATGGCTCCCCTAATAAATATAATATAAATTTAATTGGAGCAATTTATTATTTACCAAAGTTTATCGACAATTTCTTAATTTTATTAAAAAAATCCAAATTACCTATACATATTTTATTATTTCTTTAAAAAGAAATATTAAAAATTTAAAATGGTAAATAATCTGTATAATTTGGACAGAGTTGCAGGGCTCCCACACCTCCTAAAATTCATAAAATTCCTAAAATTTGGCTTAAATCTTAAAAACTCCTAAAATTCTCCTAAAATTGCCATCAATCTCCTAAAACTCCTAAAAATTAAATATAAGTAGGCCAACTTGACTGCGTTTAATAAAATTTGTAATTTAACCGTGGGAGCCCTGGAGTTGCAACTCATGGTTGTTTTGTGTAAATGTATGTATTTCTAATAGTATAGAGTAGAAATTCCCCAAATGAGCCTACCAATTTTGATGTTGAAAGTAAAATTAAAATATATATTTTTTAATTATATTAATATTTTAAAATATTATACTCATTAATATCAAGTCACGTTACAATTTTTTTGGATAAAATTCATTTGTTTATTAACACCATTATTTTTTTTAATATTTGAATGTCTAAGCACTTAAGATTCAGAAACCGTTTTAACTTTTTGTGCTTGCCCTTTGGGTTGATGATAAATAATGTTGTTTAGCGGTTTACCTTACAAAATAATGTAATTTTTTATTTACTTTTACATGATTTTTATATTTAAAACAGTATAAAATCGCCTCTACCAATCGAAATAAATTTAAATTTGTACAGAATCAAGATTTTAAATAAATAAAACTTGTGTTAAAATTTTATAACGATATTTGTAATAGTTTTTAATAGTACATTATGTATCAAGTTTGATAAACGCCATTTTAGACACGAATTTAATTTAGGCACGAGCGAGCTTGCGAGCGAGTGCTTAAATTAATGAGTGTCTAGAAAAGTTTATAAACGAGTTGCATACTATACTTTTTCTATGACAAATACTTATTATTATCTTAATAGTATTTTATGTATCAAGTTTGATAAACGCCATTTTATACACGAATTAAATTAATGAGTGTATAGAAAAGGTTATAAACGAGGTGCATACTATACTTTTTCTACGACAAATACTTATTAGTAGTAAATATATTTATTGAAAAAAACCAAAAGGCTATCGACCAAAGTCTTTTTGCCTATATAAATACAATTTTATTTTACAAAATATTTGATATAGTTATAAAAATACTTATTATTATCTTAAAATGATTTAAATCAAAAATTTGTTTAGAGCGCTATCTGTGAAACAATAGGAGAATGTGTGTGTCACCGCCAAATGTCAAATTTTTACATTTTATAAACACAATTATAAAGGTTATAAATTGAAATGTATTTCTTGAAAATTGACAGTTTTTCACTGTGAAAGTAAAGAGAATGTTTTATGAGCACTTTACAGTGGAGTCCGTTTCCGAATTTAAGTTAAAGTTTACTGCCGGCGAAATTAAAAGGTTCATATAATTTTTCAAATATTGGCGTTGAAAAACTATTTAATACTTTTGTATTTTTGTATTGAGATAATAAAATAATTTTTATATTTAGTATTATTTTACAAGAAAGGCAATTTATTTTAACGATTGTATGACATTTGACAACTGCCAACTAACTTTAAGGTCGGGGGCCCCCCCGCACCGCGGGCCCTGCGGGGCCCGTCCTGCACGCCACTGGCCCTTGACTAAAACGCCATAAAGCCACAACTTTTCAATGTGTATTTAAAAGGTCACTTAGTGTCATGGAAACAAGTACGATAATGAACGTTTTAAAGGTGGGAGTAGAAAAAATAATTTAATTTTTAACTTGTTATCATAGTATACCCTTATAAAATCGCCGCCACTGAGACAATTAAATTTAAATTTGTATTGGATCAAGATTAATACCACAAAAATATGGTGTAAAAATTTGAAAATTATTAACCCAAAGGGGGAGTACCATAAAGTTAAAACCGTTTATGAATCTTATGCATTTGGATAACAAAGCAAAATCGGCATTTATTTATTAAAAAAAATGATACTAATTAGCAACAATGTCGAATGGCATAACAATAAGGTCATTGCTCTTTGCATTCATTTTTCAACATGCTCTAAAATGTCTATCAATTAAAAAAAAATTAATTTTATAAATAGTTTTTTTATACGATGATTTTGCAATCGAACGGTGCAGAAAAGTTTAATCGCACGGTATTCATAAACAAATAAATTTTTCTCAAAAAATTTTGTAACGTGACTTGATACGAATGAGTAAATTATTTTAAAATAAAAATTTTCCTTTTAACATCAAAACAATGTTGGCTCAAAAAAAAAAAATGTTTTAACCGTTTTCTACCCTCGCCAAAATATTATTATTTTTATAATGTAAATTAAATATAAATTATATTTAAGATGCCTCTGGGGCGATGGAAGGAATTTAAAAAATATTAATTTTTTTTCACCAAAAAATTTATTTTTATCATACACAAGTTTTCTTTATACAGGCGTTTTCTATTTTAAAAATATTCATATTTCGCACCACCCTAGTATACATGGAGTTTGTACTCCTTGTGTAGGCTCCATGATCAACCCCTTGCAGTTTTTCAGCCATCTTGAGTTAAGAGGTGATTTCGCAAATAACAGCTGTATTTTTTATTTCTTAAAAAAGAGCCTAGTATTTTTGACATATAAACGACTTATAACCGATTATTTTAAAATAGCTGTAAACAATTGCTTTTATGAATTTTTTATCTAACAGTTGTAGGTAATATTTGGAAAATAATTAAATGTATCAAACTAAAAATTTTTACATTACAGTTTTTAATGACAAGTAATAAAAATTTGTGATAATTTTTTGTGATATTCCTAGAGGGCGCTAATGACACGTCAAATCGAAGTAAAAATGAATTGGTGGCTTCAATTCCACCTGTCATTAGCGTCCTCTAGAAGTACCATAAAAAATAATCACACATTTTTATTTCCCGTCCTTACCATATACTCTACAAATTTTGAGTAAAATGTATTCAATTGTTTCCTAAATATTTTTTTTTTAAATAACATCTAATATTTATAATTAACATTTACCCTAAGGCATATTTGTGTTAATCGATATTTTTACCCCCTATATGTACAGTTGCCGTATTGTCCATTACAACTTTTAAGTAGAAAACTGAATATATACGTGAAACTGGTTTTTATTTGAGTTCCAAAAATTTGCGCGTGGCATTTATTCGGAATCTCCAGTAGACATGTTTATGCATACGTCATCTAAACAAAACAATTTCATTTTTCAGTTTTATACGGTTTTTTTCTTAAAAAAAAATATGTCAACTAAGAGGAAGAAATTTTCGGATTTGACCTCAAAGCAAAAACGCGCACGGGTACAAAGGATAAATTGTAGACGAGGATCACCTAACACTTCTGATACTGAGGAAAGTTCAGGGGAATCTACATGCCATAATGACTCCTTCATTACCAACGAATTGCGACCAGTCGTCCTTAATAGAGGTAACGATGGAGCAGAAGAAGTCAGCGTCCGACTTGATGAACAAAGACAATTCGAACCCAACGAAAATGTACCTGACGTGCATGAAGAAATAGTGATTAATAATGTAGAGGGTAATGAAAACGAGATTGTCAATCCCGTGCTTAACTTAGCCGTAGAAGGAAGAAGAGTATTAAAAAACTATTGTTTAGACGCAGGCCTTAATCATGTTCAGCAGAAAAAACTTTTGAAAACATTAAGAAACCGCCCATTTTACATGCATTATTTACCTAATGACTCGAGAACTTTGCAAAGTACACCTTCTATTGTAGTAAGAAACGTTATTTTGAAAACAGCTGGTGGAGAATATCTTCATCTTGGTTTTAAACATCTTCTCGAAAATAAATTGCTGTCTTTACCCAACAATGTTTTGCCAGAATTTCTGGAGGTTGATATCAGCACAGATGGTGGTCAGTTGTATAGGTCAGGTGGACTTCAGTTTTGGCCCCTACAATTTCGCGTTGTTAACATTAAGGTTTTCAAACCTATGATAGCTGGTGTTTATGTTGGTAAAAAAAAGCCTTCAAACTCGTTTGACCTTTTTGAACAACTTGTTGCGGAATTCATGGAAGTTTTTGATAACGGTGGTTTGCGTATCAGAAACCGGACAATTCCTCTACACATCAGGTGTTTCATTGGGGATGCTCCAGCACGTTCTTTCGTTTTAAATCACAAAGGTCACTCGTCCGCCAATCCCTGTTCGAAATGCAAAGTAGTAGGTTATCGTTGCACTGTTCCTGGCTTCGAATCAACTATGGTCTTTCCTGGCGTCAGACATGAACGAAGAACAGATGAGGAGTATCGTGCAATGCTAGATGACGACCATCACAAGGGTCCCTCTCCTCTCTCGCCATTTATTGGGCTTGTTTCGAGAGTGCCTTTTGAAGGGATGCATTTAGTATATCTTGGTGTGCTTAAAAGAAAACTCGAAGCTCTGTTGCATGGAAAATTTGGTCAACGCAGATTAAATGGAAGGAAAGTTACAATTATAGATTCGCGTCTTCATTTGCTGGAGGACTACTGTCCGTCCGAATTTAATCGTAAGCTTGGTCCATTGTCCCAATTCAATCAATATAAAGCTACCCAGTACAGGCAATTATTGCTATATGGAGCTCCGGCTGTCCTTCGCAATATTTTAAACGAAGAACAGTACGCGAATATGATGCTCTTACACTCAATAATTCGTTTTCTCAGTTTTGAACATCAATCACCTGAAGTTTTGGATTTTTGTCAAGTGGCAGTTAAAACGTACGTCAGTATTTGCGAAGACTTGTATGGCCAACAATTTATTTCATATAACATCCATGCACTTCTCCACGTTGTTGATGATGTCAGGGAACTTGGGCCACTGGATTCATTCAGCGCATTCTGTTATGAAAATAATATGCCAAGCGTTAGAAAGTTGAGCACTGCCAGACCACGTGGGGCTTTAGAACAACTTCATAATAGAATCAAAGAGCGTTCTAGTCTTGTTGATCCCGGAAATGATGTAGAAGGTATTATTACTTCAGGAAAGCATGTTCAAGGTCCTCTTTTTGAAAACTTTACCGCTAAAAATTGTGAGCAATTTAAGACTATTAGGATTGGAACTACAATCCTGTCAAAATCATTAAGAGATTGTTGTTGCATGCTTCGAAATTCAGATATTTGTATTATCAGAAATATACTGCGGTTTGACGACAACATAGTTCTGCTCGTGAATAAATTTAGAGACAAAAGTTCCATCTTCAACGTTGGATATTCATCCGATGCTGTTGGGGTTTATTTATGTCGACAGCTCTCAGAGACACTTTCTAAAATGCCTTTGCGGGAAGTAAGGAGAAAATGCTATTTTATGCCGAAATGGAGTAGTGTTGAGGGCGAAGAAGAAAATGTCGTCCAAAACCAATATGTGTGTGTTACATTTATCACTCCTGTTGAGTTTCCGAGGCTGTGAGAGCAACTTATTAATGTACATATGCAGAATCTATTGTAAGTACATGTACATATTATGTAAACTGATATTTTGCTTGCGCCCCATTTTTCGGTGATTCTGATAAACTATTAAAAGAGAAAGCTTTTGATAATTCTTTTTAAAAGCCTTTGTAACGTTGCGGATTTAACTGTATGCATAATGTCATTATTTTATTTGTTATGCGTATAACAAATAAAATAATGGCATTATGCATACAGTTAAATCCGCAACGTTACAAAAGCATTCAAAAATAATTATCAAAAGCTTTCTCTTCTAATACTTTATTAGAATCACCGAAAAATGGGGCGCAAGCAAAAAATCAGTATACATAATACATGTACTTACAATATATTCTGCATATGTATATTAATACGTTTCTACACTTTAATATAAATAATTCTTATTAGTTGTCATTGTATTTATTTGGAAATAAACCTTGGGTTGGTGTTTATTTTGCCCCTATGCCTGATGGTTTGACCTAAAAACCGAAAGGTTAACACTTTTGGCTTATTTTAAGGTTATTTGAGATATTTTACCGTGGACTCTGACTGGAAGTTTGTGGATGGTTGTTATGTTTATTATCCTATGTGTAAAGTGTTTCTGTTGATAAGAAGTATAAATTCGTGTCACAATTCAATTTTCGGGTGTTATCTGTCTCATTTTTAATGTTATGGTTAAGTTTTGGCAAAGTATTTATTGACCTTCATTAGGGCCGTGTGGAACTTTAGGCCTCGCTAAACGGTAGAATAATGTTCAGTTAACTTGGTTGCGTTAATAGCTTGGTACCGACTAATGAATTTACCTTATTTTGCAAGGTTCTCGATTTGTTGACGTTTACTGCTATGACATCTGCCATCGTCGCACTGCGGCCAACTTCGGGTCAACCTAACTTACTATTGATTTTTAGTTTCGTCAGGAAATTCAGTTTTTATAGGCTAATTGGATTTGTTGGGAAGGTTGTTTCTGTAAAGGATATATCCTTCGTAGGGTTGGAGAACTATCAATATTGGTGCAATTCAATATATCGATAATATCGATAGTTATAAAAACAAATATTTATAGAAAACGTTTATTTTAAAGATAAGACCAACTAAGTAAGTTTGTATTTAAGAACTGTTTTTTTTTCAAAATTTTGTTGTATGCTATTTTTTGTGTCATGTTCATTTATTGGTGAGTTTAGCCACACATTTTACCTAAGAACAGGGCGCAAGAACAATATTAATTTGCGATTTTACAAAACAAATCAAAAAGTTTATTTCCATTGTCGGGAAAAAACTTATAAATAAGATAATTAGGTGACCCATCTAGCGGTGAGAGATTTAAAAGTAAATTGACAGCCTACAGCAATCTGCACGATTCGCAATTTGCGGCAATAAAAATAATACTTATTTTTATATATCACATGGTAAATATATATATATATATATATATACATCCTACGTATGTACATTACCTACCAACTATAGGATGTATATGGACAGTTAACGTGTCAGTATACTGCATAACTTTTTACCTGCTAGATGGAAAAGCTAACTTTTTAAAAATATTTGAATTAAACTAGATATTTACAGTACAGTAACTGTTGTTAGGTAGTTGAAAACTATCCATAGGTCTATAGTAAAGTTTTATTGTAAACTATCCATATAATCGATAGTAACTATCGCACTAACCGCACACCACACCGATGGAGGGATTTTGTGTATAAGTTGTCGATATTGTGGGTTTATTCCTGCAGTCAGGCGTGAGTAGAACTATTTTCGGTGAAACCGAAGATTTGTCTTAAATCTATGTCTGTATTTTAGGGTTTATGTTGGTCGTTAGGTTCAGTTTTTATATTACATTCATTGGATGGTAGGTTGTTGCCATGTACCTGGTGTGTTATTATTGGAGAGTTCAGACCACGGCAGATAATCTTATCCTCCTGTATCTCGGGGTTGTTGGCTATTTGGGTCTACGCAATTGGATCAACTCAGGAGACCTGCAAGGGGGGCTGAGTGACCTGCAAAATAGTAATACTTTCCTAAACCAAGTGGCTGGATCTAAGTTAAGGAGCCACAGCACTACACCTGCATCATTTTACAATGGAGAGAATAAGTCAAAACCTTTTATTTATTCTGTATTGGGCCAAGTTTTAGTTGGGAATCTCAAGATATTTTGTTCTCATACAGACCCTATTCATGGGTACTTTTAGATAACTCAAACCCTGTAAACCATATCTTGGGGTACCTTTCTATCACCATAATAGCTTACAAATACTTTTGTCTGGTTGCCTTCTGCACCAGGCTGTGAGCCTACGTGATTACGAAGGTAGGCTCCAGTAAGGGCCCATACTATGCAACCCTTTATGTTTTTGTTATACTATTATATGTGATGCGCAGAGGATTGCGCAGTAGTAAATGATTGCGGATTATCCATTTGTTTATTTTAAATTACCACAAATTGCCTTAGCGTCGTCCTGAAAATGATGTTGAATTGTTTTGTGTTGATCCTAATTAGAATATGTCACTGCACCCTAACTACCCTAGGCTTTAGTGTTTTCGCCTGAGATATTTTGTCTATCTATTTTTGTGGAACACCGCCTTTTCCACTGGGACTCAGCCGCGAGCACACGACTGTCGGGTGGCAGTCAAACCTGATCGACAACCCTCATCGAAAGAGGGGTGGCACCTTTATGTAGGTAGTTTAGAGGTTTTTTGAGATAATTTTGGGTCTTTGTAAAGCTTAGATTTTTTAAAACCTTATTGCAACCGATATTTTCATTCACGCACATATACCTAACTATGGTTTGGAAATAATCAGTTGTATGTGCGTGAATGGAAATAATATTTTTTAATCAGAAACTGTCGCAATGTTTCAAAAAATATACTTAGTATCTGCAGTGTCCTAGGATCTGTTTCTTACTATAAGTTTAGTAAACTGTACTTTGTAATATGTGATGTAATTATTATTTTCAGTATGATGAATCCAGTTGAATCTCCAAACAAAAATAATAGGAAGAGAGCACCTAAACTTACTAAAAGTGGACGACAGACTAAGAAACCGAAAAAGTTAGAAGAATTCACGTCCGCATCTTCGAATGACGAAATCTTTCGTTCTCCTGGGTGCTGCAAAGGGACCAAATCAAACCAAGTCAAGACGATACGCGCCAAAATGGATCATTTAAAGTCTATGATTGAGAATAAATTGCTTTTGAAAAATTTCACGTCGTTGACCAAAGAATCTAGGGTGGCCAATGTAAAACAGTTTGATGAAAACTTTAATCCTGAATCAATAACTACGTAAGTTATAGGATATGTGCACTAATTTTATGTAAACCCAACTAAACATTTAATTTTTCATTAGCGCTGACACCCCTTTGTCTAGGACAGCAGCTGCATGTGCTGGTTCTTTTTGTTTATCGCCCACCATTGGGTCAAAAATCTCTGAAACACCAAGCCATGGAAGTGAATACATAAATGATGTGGGAAAATATATGAAGTAAGATGTAAAGACTTATTTTTTTATATTCCGGTAATTTTGCGTTTAATGGAAATATAATCCAAACAGGATTTTAAGAAAGGATTTAAAATTTCCGTATGCGTAAATTTGAATTAATTGTTAATGGGGGCACTGCATGATACTCTGTAATTTTTGTCCCGACCTTCGCAAATGAAAATTGTAAGTAAAAACCACACGCAATGATATTTATTTTAAAATTTTATTGTTTAATTACATTTATTAAATTTGTTTAAGTCTTATATTATATTATAACTTAAGGTAAAAACCGAGACAAACTGCGTCCTACGGTATCGGGTTCGATCCCCGGTCACAGCCTTGGGTGTTGTGCTTGTTAAAATAGTCGGTAGATAAGTCTAAGGACTTATCGAGGTCCCGCTGAAGAACCGAACATTATAGACTTTGTCTATAAGCTGGATAGGTTGATGGCGTTACTACTTTACTTTACTTTATTATAACATTATAAGCATAATAAACAATAACGTTTAAAAATAAATTTAATTTAATTATTGTTTTTACGCAATTTTGTAATTTTGAGGTCCAGGATAAAAATTCCCAAGTATCGTGGAATGCCCCCAACATTTTTGACAATCTTAATACGTTTTTTCACAGGGAAACATCACAAAAAGCCCAAACACCGGAAGAACCCGACCTGGATTCCTATCTGCTGTCAAATCGAAGCGTATTTACTAATCGTCAACCGTTGCGGGATTTAAATAACTCAACTACTTCAACTTTTGCAGACAGCTATTTTAGCCAACTGAAGAAGATGTTTAGGTGAGTAATATTAAAACTCGTTACTTTTATTGTAAACTTCAAGTTTAGTATTCTACATATCAAAATTTGCGGTTTAATTGATGTGTGCATACAGTGTTAACGTTTGACAATTTGTTGGCAGTTTAATCGGAGACAACCAGCGGCAAATCCTGTCCAATCAAACCACAATAATGTCAAATCAAGACGACATAATATCTACCATCCAGAAAGTCGATGAAAAAGTAACAAACCTTGAAAATGCGGTCCAGGTGATGTCCACGGCACGAGGAAATCAGATAGACCCCAATAAACCAGAAATGTACCCCTGCATGTCATTGGAGGATTTTAGAATTGCTGAAGAAGACCAGGAAGAATCCTCTCGTAAATTACTTGTAATTATTTTTTTTGACACAATTTCTATCATTGTTCCTTCCCAGAACGCTCCTGAAAGTCACCATAACTTGCAATAAGACATTCTTTTATTATAATTACTAGCTGTCACACGCGGAAAGAGCTACCCACCATGGGCTGTAGCCTCCAATTGTCTAGAAGTTCTTCCTAGATTCTCTTAATGCACTTGTGTTCAAATTTCGAGACCGAATAAATTTATTTAGTCTCATAATTTGCACACAAGATATTTATAGTAAATAGACACACATTCTTCTTTTTAAGGAAAGTTATTTGGGAAGCATGGGGGCAGAGAATGTCCGAGCTTTTATTTCCATGGCAATGAAGGAAATATTGTCTGACAACGTTGTTGAACAATTTACCGTCAACGGAAATCGTGGGAAGAAAGAATTTGGGAGCTCAAAACATGCAGCTCTCATCTTGCGTAAGTACCAATGTTGATATAGAATACAGTTTTGTATAATGGCAAAAACACTAATTGGTCCCTCAAACATGAAAGTGCGTAATTTTTAAATTAAGGAAATTAAAAAACAAGGAGACGAAAGACTGTTTATTTCATTAATTTTTTCGTTTAATTTATAGGCGCAGCCAGAGAATGCAAACTCTTCGAGGGACCTCTTACTCGAACCGAATTTCTTCGCGAACTTCGAGAAGTGTTTCGTTCAACTAAGCAAAGGGTTAAAAATAAAAGGGAAGGCGACAGAGGAGTCGACGTGGGAACATTATTGCAAGAAGCAGCGGTATTAACACGTCATCTACAAGAGATGGAGGACGGAGATGGATCCGACGGATCAATCAATGAAGATGGCAGAAGACGGTATGCTTAAGTTTCAATACATCCAATTCATTGAAGCCTAAAAATTTAATGAACAATAATTTCACAATTTTTATTTTCAGACATTCAAGTGGTTAAGCTTAAAGGACAAGATAAATTATATAAATGTTATTAGGGTGTCCCAAATTGGTTTTCCGTATAGGGTATCTTACTAAATAGAAATTCTAGAAAAAATTATTATATATATATATTATATATATTAGATTATACATTGCATGTCTTTAAATTTTCTCGATTTACATTTGTTTACAAAATATGGTCTATTTTTCAATGTTGATAAATTTTTTTAGGTTTGTTAATATTTAAGTCACGAATACAGTTTGAATACATTTTATAGGCACTTTTTATCAAAGGCGTAGGCAGATTTTTTTACCTCTTCTGGTTTAAGAGTCATATCTCTTAACCTTACAGAGCTAAAAAAATCTGTCTACGCCAATGAACTCTGTGACTATATAATGTCTTTAACCTGTATTCGTAACTCAAATTGTTGGGTTTTCTTCAATACTATATTAATGTAATATTAATTTTTTAGTTTAATTTTATTAAATGTATATTTAGATTTATGTGCAATTTGGGTTGTATTAATTCAATGGTTAATTTGTTTAATTTATGATTTTTCGCGATAATTACGCCCCTCGTGGCAATAACGCCATATAGAGACAATTGTGCACACACGTGCAAGAATCACCGACGCGCATAGTTACAAATTAGACGCTTCTCGACCGGCAAGAAAATTGTGTGGTGGTGCCATTATTTTAAAGGCAATTTATGAAGAACCAGAATTACAGTCCACTCCGTCTGAAAATAAGCAAGGTAAGTCACTAGGGGTTGTCTCGTTTATTTTTTTTAATCTTTTACGCAACACAAATATTAACGGACCTACAAGCATTGGTCAAAAATTGAAAAATAGGTTATATCTCCTAAGCAAATGCGAATCGAAAAAATTCGAAGTAAAAAGAAGAACGGGGATGCGTGGTCGAATTTATTCTAGAATTTATATTTACTGAGATAGCCTCGGAGATAGCTTATAAGGAAAACCAATTTGGGACACTCCATACAAATGTTAAATATATAAATGTTACTGTTAACTTACAAATGTTATTATTAAAATATATTTAAAAATGTTATTAAATTATACAAAAGTTATGTTATTAAAATATATAAATGTTGATATATTTGATCCAGAGTTTTATTTTACCCAATGCCGCGAGTAAGTTGGACCTGTGATAAACGATAAAAACACGTTGCATCACTAGTAACGATAGCGACGACGCTATTGTCGTTTATTACAGCTGCAATATACTCGCGGCCTAAGAAAAAGTAACATTCGAATTTATTATTAAAACGCCCCATTCGTTCGCGCATGCGCGCCAGCAATGTCACGAAATGATATCCTATTGAGTGCGTATTGCGCTCGAAAATCACGATTTGATATCCCATTGATTGTCTATTGTGGAAACATATGAATGCGCAAGTGATATCACGATGTCACGACGGGATTTCGGACTGATTTCAATACGCAATCACAAATGTTTACTGGGAAGTTTCAAAGCATGCCTGATTTCATACTGGAGTCTGTATGATATCACATATGATTTTCAGTATAATTAATTCTAAGTTTCAAAGCACGCCTGATTTCATACTGGAGTCTGTATGAGATCACATATGATTTTCAGTATAATTTTAAGTTCTAACTCAACCATAGAGGAATGGCGCCAGGTAAATTGCGCCAGATTTAAGAAATCTTTTTGTTTTTGTAAATACCTAAATTTTTAATAAACAAAATTTGGTATTTTATTTTAATTTTTTTATAGCAATTTAAGCTTCTAGATTTCCTCCTTCACTGGAATTTTTTTTCAGGAAACAAATGGTTTTATTGCAATAAAATTTAAAAATTAATGTATTTATTTTTAAATTTTATTGGGTATAATTAATTATAATTATTAACTTTTCAGCAATAAAATTTTATTGGCGTATTAATTGCCGTTGGTCTTTACTGTTCCCGTTCAAAAGTTAAACTTGTGATCGTCTACCATATCATTTATACTTTAACGTACGTCAAACTATAAATGACATGGTAGACAATGTTTAACTTCGATTATTGATTATTTAAAATAACCGTTTTTTTCTATTAATCGATTATTTGATTAATCGATTTTACCTGTTCATTTTACAAAATCACATATGATTTTATTGACAACAGTATGATTTCATTCTGACAACAGTATGATTTCAAAGCCAACGTCAGCGGGACCAAAAATCTCGACTGATTTTACTTATTCTTTAAAGTTTTCTTTCTACCGGTTTCTACCGGTCTCTTTACAAAATCACATCTGATTTCATTCTGACATCAGTATGATTTCAAAGCCAACGTCAGCAGTAACAAATATCACATCTGATTTCAGTCTGACTTCATATTGCTGACATTCGCGTATGCGCTACTGACGTCAGATTCTCGACAGACGTGAAGAACGATTTTCACGTCTGATTTTATTCTGACGTCAATATGAAATCATAAATGCTAGCTGGGTTAAATCATAAAAGTAAATATGCAGTTAAAATTCAACTGTTGGATAAATATTTATGAGAAAAATTCTGTGCTTATCGCAAAAAAAAAGAGTATCAAACGTCAAGGTTAATTAATGCTGTGCATTTATAATGACCTTAATATTTATAATTTTACCAGGCTTATTTTGATTTTTTCCAATTCAATTACTACCTACTTACAATAAAATTTTATAGTATATAACGACTCGTTCGTCATATGCCTAATATTGGCCGTTTGTTGTACTATATTTTTTATATATAAAACCTTTTTAAAATACCTTCACATGGTTAAATTAAAAAAAAACCGCCAAGCTAGCAAAACCAATGCTTTTATCAAGAAAACTGGGCTTTGATAGCTATAAGCCTAGGGCTATTAGTAAGTTACTAATAGTAACGATTGTTTATTTGTAAAATTTGTTAAAATTTTCAGCTGTTAAGTACTGTTAGAGTACTAATACTGCTGTTAGGACATTAATAACATATGAGTCAATCCAAATGAAAACACCAAAAATAAATTTAAAAGTGCGCTGCATGACTTTTTAATTTAATGAAAAAAATTGAGGATGATCTTTTAGGTATCATATATGAAAAACCGTTGCCGTTTTAATTTTTAGTTGCTTTATTTTTAATCGGCACCCTTTAGAAACCTGAAATCGTGTCATTTTCTTACTCTCTTACAAGAGGCTAAAACTTTTTTTCTGTGGCAATTATTGAAATAATTTTATTTTACTGCCTTGTAGTATGTTTTCAATATTAATTATTATTATCTAATTAGTTCATCTCATAAAAGAACTAAAGATTTGTAAAAATTTGCCAATTTTTGTGATTTTTGTCTGGCTCCTGTGCCTATTCTGCTAAATCTAGAAAGTTGCTTCTTTCAGGTATCAAGTACTATTATTTTAAGTTTCTAGACTATCATTTTCTTTATTAAAAGAATTATTGAAACTTGATAATTTTCAAAATTAGCCAATTTTGCCCTCAGAAATCATTAAAAATATTAATATATCTTTTAAAGGAATAAAAATAACAAAATAAGACTAACTGGACTGAAAAAATGAAGGTGTGGACTACATTTCCTGAAAGTTTCAGATTTGTATTTTTTCCTCAACATAATGATTTCTGAGGGCAAAATTGACTAATTTGAAGAATTATTAAGTTTCAATAATTTTTTAATTAAGAAAATGATAGTCTAGAAACTTAAAATAATAGTTACGTTTTCTATTGTATATTGTATTGTATGATACCTGAAAAAAAATAACTTTCTAGATTTAGTAGAATAGGCTCAGGAGCCAGACAAAAATCACAAAAATTATCATGAATCTTTAGTGGTTTACCATTCTTTTATGAGATTAACTAATTGGATAATAATAATTTATATCGACTATTTCCCTCGTCTTAATATCCACCAATCACAAACGCGCAATTTTGAATTACAAATGGTTTCTAGGTGAAAAAACTGTGTGACAGCACCTGTCAGCAGTTTATTCGAGTTTACCCGCGGCAAAACTTGACAGCTGTTGTCACCAAAAATTGCAATTTAGGTATATTTTAATTGTTAACTGTTACTCATGAAATAGTCTTTTCAAATACCATTCGGGCATCTAATTTTTCCTGTGAAAAAAATCGAAAAAACACAATGCTAAGTAATATTTTTTAACAAAATGCATTCGTGCAGGTGCAAAAATCCTCCTCTTCGACTCGGATTTTTGTTTCCACCAGCACTCATGCTTTTTGTTAAAATATTACTTAGCAACGTGTTTTTTCGATTCTTTTCGGAAAAATTAAATGCCCTTATGATATTACTTACGAAAACACACTTACTGAACAGTAAAACAAAATTAACAAAATTGACACGATTTCAGATTTCTAAAGGGTGCCGATTAAAATTAAAGAATCCAAAAATTAAAACGGCAACAGATTTTCATATTTGATACCTAAAAGATCATTCTCAATTTTTTATCAAAATAAAAAATCAAGCAGCGCACCCCATTTGGTGTTTTTATTTGGAATGATATAGGTATTACGAAAGCTATAGCTTATAAATATCGATCGCCTTTAATTTCAAAGTTATTTTTAATTTCATGCAGTTTGCATAAAAATAAAAATATTGTTTCAAATAATTAAAATGTATTATAGATTTTCATCAGTTCCGAGGATGCAGCCTGGTTTAACGGCGAAGTCAAAATCGAGGAAAACATAGAACGAGTAAGAAGGTAAGTTCAATATCCAAAATTATTACAATAATACTTATACTTAAAACAATTGTTATCAGGGCTTTCTACAATGATATGGAAAACATCCCTCTCTTCTTCATAGCTGCTCTGGCATATCTCTTCACCGACCCACAACTATGGCTCGTCAACAGCTTGTTTATTGTGTTTCTGGTTGTTAGGGCGCTGCATTCTTTTGTTTATGCAGTGTATGTGATTCCACAGCCGACTAGAGCCATATTATGGTTTATTGGTTTTGCAATTACGGGATATATGGCGATACACTCCGCCATAAATGCTTTTGTTGCAGGATATGTTGATGTTTAAGTATTATTTAATTAAGTTATTATTTTTTTAGGTTTATAATAAAAATATATCTTCTTAAAACTACCTTTTGATAAAGTCATAATTTGAACTAATACCATTTTAATAATATTTTTATAGATAAAGACATTTTTCTGTATGGTAAACAATTTTATTGAATAAAGTAAATGTACAAAAATAAATACCTATTCCTTATATTACTTTAGTGTTTGGACACTGGTTGTAATTAGTGCTGTCAACGATTATCGATTAACCGGTTAACCGGTCATAATTTTATTATAACCGGAAAATGAGGGTATAACCATCATCATTATCGGTCAATCGGTTACCGGTTACCAGTTAATCGGTAACCGATTAACCGGTTATGGTTATTATCTGGTCATATGGTTAATCGGTCGACCGATCGGTAGGTAAAGATTTTCTCTGCCCGCTTCTGTACCGGTTTCGGGTGAATCCCCGTCCTACATGCTTACGGTTTTAATTTCAGTTGCATGAGAGTAGTTGGATGATCCACGTTGCAACGTTGTGAATGACATAGTAACTAAGTAGGTACTGTCCTATTTTATTCTAAAATTATATCAAACAACTAATATAAAACGTTCTAATAAATTATACAAAAAATAGTCTTACCTTTTAAGAAAACTAAATAGGTCAGCAGCAGCAGTTCCGCAGTATTCCGCACGTTAATTGTCACAATCAAACGATTAATTAAACAAATCGATAATTATCTTAAGACAACAGTCGTAAGTTACTTATAAGACAGGACTGGATTATTCTCGATAAGTGCTGTCTTTCTCGCTCCTGCCTTATGTGTAAGAAAGGAGTGTGAGTGAGAAAGAAAAGAAGCATGGTTTCAGCCTTTCACGCAACGCCTACGGAAAAAGTCGAGCGCGCACGAGGCAGGCACGAATATTTAAATTCTGGCGGCACGAGGCATGGCTGGTACAACGTTGTCGGATTGTGGAAAAAATTCTTCGAAAAAATTGAAAAATGTGCCAACGTGAAAATTATGAACATTTTACGTCCAGCCAAAGGTATTGACTGGACGCTGGACAAATGAGCCGAAAAGGTGGACGTCCACCCAAATTCTGGACAGTTGGCAACCCTAACTTCAATGTACCCGAGCCCGATGACGACGACGATGAAGAAGACCTAGACCTAGGCATGTACGCTGACCTCGTCTATGAAGAAGTCCCAGATGTGATGGTGTTGCACCCGGTAGAGTAAACAGAGATTTCGCTGACGGCAGACTTTTACAGAGACGAATCATTCGAGCGCATTTCATATAGTAGCGATCTTTTGTGATATTTTTGTTGAATGGGTGCATAACATGAATTATGTATGAACCTTAAATAAACTAAAGATAAAGTAAACAAAACACAATAATTTAAAATAAACGTTTGAGCATGTATTAAACAATTATTATTACTCGTTATTACTTCTTTAAATGTTTTATTGTTGTTCCCCATTGCTTTACTCCAATTCTCATGATATTTTGATGATTTTTGTATTTGTGGTGTTTTATTTTATTTAGACCATGATCGATTAATTATATTAATTAAATTCGGTTATAAATATTAATCGATCATGGCCACGGTTAAATGGTCATGGTCAACTGGTTAATAATGACCATTTAACCGTGACCATGATCGATTAATGACCGGTTATGCAACATATTCAGTAACCGGTTATTTACTTAACCGGTTAATATTCCATGACCGGTTAACCGGGAAAAATTTTAACTTTTGACAGCACTAGTTGTAATGGCATTTCCATGGCTATATACTTTAATATGTAGTATTAGGTTCAAATTTAAGTTAGAATATGGCTCTAATTTTTAATTCAAAATATTTTATCCAAGTAGTAACACTGAACTCCAATACTAGTATTAAATATTGATTTACAAGCAAAAGATAAAATAAAATTGTATATTTAGATCAATTTTCTCCTGTATAAATATAAATGTTTAATAAGATCGAAACGCCATAAATAATAAAAGAAGACGTACAACTTTAACTATCGATAAAACAGACTTTAAATAATCTACAGAAGCTTCTTCTTGTCAAAATCATCATTTATAAAACGTTGGTAATATTTTTGATATTTTTATGAAGATTTTCTTTTTTACAAATAATTTGGGGTAATAAAGTCCCTCGGGTCCTCATTGCCTTAAAGTAAAAAAAAAAATATTTTTTATGAAGAAGACTTTACTCTAGCAATGGCTTTAACTTCTTTTCCTCTTGAAACTATACAAGAGCCTAAAGAAGCTGTAGCAGATGCAGCATCAAATGTAAACGAGGATGCCCCTGCATCTAGCATGGCCAACGTTATGATACAGATGTGTAATGTGACTTTACTCAAGACTCAAGACTCTTGAGTGGACTTATGCCAAATGCTCAGGTGCAAGCAAAAAATCGGAATTTACATGCAATTTTTAGAGAGCAGGTTTACTTTGGGGTCCTTATTTCCCGACGGGGCGGATAATGAGGCCCTTTTGACTTTATTTTTATAAATTGGGTCGTTTTCAAAAAACACCCGCCTTCCGCTGTCCGTAAGTTTGAATTCCAATAATTTTGTTAAAAATTATCGGATCTTATTGATTTAAAAACCAAGTAAAAGCCTAACAAGCCCTTAGTAAACTCTTTCAGAATATTTTTTTTTTAATTTTGAAACTTGTGAAACACACATTTTCGCATGTCCCATTAGCGTTTTATAAAACTTACATACATGTTTTATTTAAATATTGAATAACCAGAACTTTGTGTTGCTTTGTAGCAATCCATAACATCCTTAGTTAATACAGTACCTAAACAATTTATATATAAAATAATTAATTTTAATCTACTTTTTTTAAATTTTACTTATGTCCCAGACATTTTTTCCGTTGCGTTACGTCCGTCGCGTCACCGATAGAATATTAAAAAAAAACATATATATGGCAACTTTTTTGGCACTCACGTGATCAACAAATGATGTTCGGACGTACACATTACCCAGCTGAATTTATTTATTCAATCAGGAAGAAGATATCGGTTGAAACGTGCGGGTAACGCGAATGTAATAATTGTTTGTCCGCTAAGTTACTCAAAAAAATAATAAAAATAAGGTAAGAAAAAATACTATTTTTCATGTTTAAGTTTATTTTAGGGCACTAAAGCTCATTGAGAGTAATTAATGACTGTAATGCCTTATTATTATTTTTTTAAATACGGTTTCACAAAACTTTTTCCACTGCGTTACCGAGTCCATTATGTTACCTTATGGTAACGCAATGGAATTTAGGGTAACGCAATAGAATTTTTCGACGACAAAGTGGATATTTACCGTCGCTTTTATTAAAAGTAGTTTATGATAAACCTATTTAAAATTATTTGTGATTACAACCAGAGCTGCAAGGTCTCAGAAAACTTAAATCGTTTTTTTGATTTAAATCGTTTTAATGACTTAAGTCATTTGGTAATAAGTCATTTCTCTAAAACTGACTTAAGACTTAAAATTTAAGTAATTTTCAAAATGATTTGTGACTTAAATATTTTTTTCAAAATAGAAAAAACTTAAGTCATTAATAAAAGGCTTAAATCAGTACATACGATTTAAGTCAGATAAAAACGATTTAAGTCAAAAAAAGATTTAAGTCTTTTTGAGAAAGATTTAAGTCTTTTTAGAAAATATTTAAGTCAGATTTTTCATAGATTTTTTTATAATTTTTTTACAGCGGCATTTTATTGAACTGCCACTGGCAGTCTGCCAGGGGTTCACGCGGCAGCAGATCAAAAACTCCTTAATTTCCTACCTACAATTGCTACCTCTAGTGGATAAAAAAACCGCCGCGGTAAAATTAGCTTTTCGGAACCGTTTGACGGCTACATTAAAAAATGTCCTGTCTAAAATGAATTAAAAAAAGTGGGGATTTATAATTTTGATATTTTGTTTGCCAACATTCGTCGTGTTCGTGCGAAGTTAGGTCTAATTTGTGATTATTAGTGCAAAGTGGAAACAAACGATTAACTTGTAAGGACGAATAAATATTATAAAGACGTGTTTACATCATACAGGGTGTTTCGGTTTGTTTAAGTAAATAATTACGACAAAAAAACGTGATTGTGCGTGAATAAAAGTATTCAAACGTGATTGTGCGTGAACGTGAGTAGTCTTGAATTATTACAGTCGTGAGCAGTTGTACATCTTGAGCGGTCGTGAACCCAGAGTTTGGAACTTCCCATCATTACTCCCTTAAGGGAGGAATTTTTTTTTTCTAGATGGATGTTGAACCAGCTAACAAAAGTTAACAAAACAACAAGTTATCAGTTTTTGAAATACAGCGATTTTAAGAAAAATTCTTCAACTTTTATCTATTTTAACAGAGTTTGAATCTATTACCGTTTAGAAGTTACCCATTTATGTATATAAAAAAGTAGCCTCCCTGTATGTCTACTCTACTAAAAAAGGTGGTTTAAGTTTTTATTTTTATTGTCTACTATACAAAAAAATGTGTTTTAAGTTTTTATTTTATTTGTAAGTGTTCTGAAAATAAATCGTTTTAAATTCTTAACATAGTGGTTTATTATCATCTACAATATAGATTAATAATATCAGTATCATTAATACAATAAAATTATTATTAACATTTAAAAAATCGTTGTATTGACTTAAGGGTAATTATTTTGATTTAAAAACATTTAAAAAATCATTTATCATCAAAAAACATTTAAAAAATCGTTGTATTGACTTAAGGGTAATTATTTTGATTTAAATCACAATTTTTGATTCAAGTCATTTTATTGACTGAACTCTGAGATCACGATTTAAATAAAAAATATAGACTTAAGTCATAAAAATGAGTTACTAAAGGAATTAAGTCATAAGATGATTTAAATCATTTTAATTGGATTTAAGAATTTGCGAAAATGACTTGATTCAAAGACTTAATACTTAAATCATTTGAACTTTATCTTAGAATTGACTTAAGATTTAAATCATTTTGATTTTAGAATTGACTTAAGACTTAAGATTTAAGTCTTTTTAAAACTGACTTGTTGCAGCTCTGATTACAACTCATGATATAGATTACATCCAAGGGAAAAT